GCCGTAGATGTCTATCATCTCTCTCACACTAAGGTGTCACACATGAGGGATCTGGCCCTGTGGCCTCACCCTGAAAAGTCTTACCTTTTGGGGGTGTGAGCTCAATGTCATTCTTTTGGCAGAAGGTGGCGGGAAAAATGGCATGAGAGGAGGCATGGTAGCAGAACCAGTCTGAGCCATCTGTGGAGGGCCCCCCATCCACACAGATCATCAGGTAACCATCCAAGAGTACCTAGAGGAGGTGCCAGCGAGATGTCTCAAAAGGTAAAAACACTTGCTATCCTGCAAGACTCAATAAGCCACACAGAGGAAGGACAGACCAACTACCACAAATTGTCTTCTGATTTCCATGCACGTACACATAAAATAAATGTAATTAAAAACAAAACAAAAAGCCCTAGAGGCGGGTATACAGAAATAGACAGCATTGTCATTAACGGTAGATGGCAGACCCTCCAGAGTAAGGTAGCTATGACTGGACATGAGGCAGGTGGATTGTTGAATTCTGTCTTCCACCAAATACCCCAAGATGTTTAGCAGAGTATCCAGCACTCAGGAATGTGCATTTGTGAGATAACACATCCTTTTTACTGGATGGCCAACCCATGCAGCTGGGACTGCACCTGCCTTGCTGCCTGTCACCAGGCATGGCTGGACACAGCAGGTTAGGCAGACAACCACCAGTGTCCTCAGGCTGCAGCAATGAGGAAGTTAGGAGCAAGGAGTTCAGCTGAGGCTTTGGGCATGCAAAGGAGATGCAAGTGGCAGGAAGGCCTACATGAGGGGATAGTATGGAGCCTGCACCTGACATGGGACAAGGCTTAGTATGTCTAAGTATGTCTCAAGTAAACTAGTATGTTTAGTATGTCTCAAGCCCTAACATGAAGGTAGGGTCTGAGTAGAAAGATGGAACAGTCTCCCTCTACCACATACAAGTTAAGTACAACAGGAGCAGCCAGGTCAGAGCCCCAAGAGCCTAACAGCAGGGGTGAAGCTCTGTGCCATCCAACCCTCAGATAGCCATGCTGGAGGAGGGAGAGTAGCCTAGGCTCACCTTGCAGATGGTTGCTACACAAATGTTGCCCAGATTCAGAGGGTCAATGGCTTCTAGTTTCATTCCTTCCTCAAACCAGCCACCTTCTGTGTAGACAGCTCGGACCTTAAAAGAATGAGGTGATTGAGGAGTCAGGGGAAGGTAGAAGAGGCAGGCTTCCAATTCTGCAGGCCTGGCATGGAATCAGAGGGCAAGGGACAGCCCTACTGAGTGTGATATACCCACCTATAATCTCAGAATTTAAGAGGCAGGCTGTGACAAGCCAGCCTGGGCTACAATGAGACCTTGCCTCAGTCTACTCCTCTAAAAAGGTCCTCATGTATGTTAAGGACTGAAACAATCTTTTACAAAAGAGTCAAGAAACAGTGAGAGAGAGCAGACAAGATCCTGCAGTCTGGGAAAAATATGGCCAAAAGGGAAGTACCCACAGGTTGCACCTTACCTTCTTGAAGAGGTAAGGAACAGCGTCACAGTAGATTTTCCGGAAGGTGGGGTGATGGGACATGTCACATCTTCTCTCTTGGGGAGATGGCAGAGAAGAGAGGAAAAAAAGGGAGTTGAAGACAGCCAATGGTTATCACATGCTTCCCCCAGAATTATGGAGCCAGGCAGGCTACCTTTGTTCTCAGCTGTGCCCCAGTCCCCCACCCTACATAGGAAAGCAGACAAGTCCAGTCCAGAGGGCCCTGGAGGACTATTCAGCACAGGCGATCTGGGCTCTTCCTTGCTGGCACTGTAATGGTAGCACCTGAGTTACATCTTTATTTTGCTATTCA